ATGGCTTAAGCAGATTCATAGCACCGCAACAAGCAGATCGGCATTCGCTCAACTCGACCTAAACTTATTATCCTGCGGCTGCCAAACACTGAGACGGAGGCGGTCACCTGTTTACGAACAAGACGAGGCTAAACATGTCAAGGCTTGAAATTAATGATCTTTTTCTGCACTTGGCGCGTAGAAGCGTGCTGGCAGGAGGGACCGATAGACATGCGCTTTTCATAAGAAGCAATACAACATAATAACAAACATAAAAACAGTACTACAAGTGCTAATGTGTTGGCATTGTCAGTGTCATATGCATAACTAAAACACGACTATTCATAAACGGGTTTCGGTTACAAAAAGTTTCGAAACGTCCAAAAACGCTGCATTTGAACCGATTAACTACAACAGGCGCATTCAACTATATCCGAACAGTCAAGCCGATGGTTCGAAGCCAAGACTTTTGCCATGGTAACGGTCAACATACCGCCATCAGACGGTCAGTCAACAAGATGTTGGAGGCAACTCACCGCCACCTCTGAGGTAGGAAAAAGATACGGTCTCGTTAAGTTAGGCATATGAAAACAGAAAACTGTCGTGGAATGCCTAGTACGATCACATAAAATGCAAATCACAAGATCACAAGTTCGCCCAAGTTTGTACGTCACATTTCTAATAGCTGGTCAAATCTGGGCGAGAGATGATGGACGCCGAGAGAACAGCAAAATCGATTCCCAGTCCCGATCCTTAAGATAACTCGTAATCAGGCACAGCATTAGCAAGATGAAGCCTGAGAGACATCGTCGTCGTTTTCGATGTCGCAGACGCTTAAAAATCGCCGAGTCAAAAAACCGAACACAGAGTCGACCCTTTGACCCAGGCCTTTCTCTCAAACGCACCATCGCCGCCGATACTCAGCGTCTCATACACCAACCAAAATATGCGTCATACTCACTGTGAGCAGCTGATACCAGTTCACGGCATTGGTTTTCCAGCAGCTTAATGGTCTTGTACGAGCGCTGCAACGAGCATTCGTGCTCGTGGAGGTTCGCCCGAAACCATGGGCTATCGGCCAAACAATCGGCAAATTCCAGTGGGCGCAACACCATCTCCGCTGTCGTTGTCGTACTAGTAACAGTTGTCGTATTCGTAATCGTCGCAGTCTTTAGCTTTCGACAACGGGCATCGCAATCGGTACCAGAAAAGACCACTCTTCTTCACCTCTGTCAATTTCTATGAAACACAGATGTTCGGAAGTTCGCACGGGTAGACGAAAACACGTCAATCTCCGCAGCTAAGATTTATAAAAATTTACCGTAAAACTAGTCTCTTAACACAGGGTAAAGCAGCCGCGATTTCAACCGCTAATTATGCTATTCATCCCAACGTAATAACTACCGATATTCACATCGACGATGTTCGGTGATCACTTAGCGATGTTGAATCACGATAAACACTACTTGAACCTGCGCATTATTTTACCGTAATTCATCATCGGCATTTTTTACGTCCACGTTTGAACTGTACAGTTATAAACTTATGCATATCTACTATTTGGCGAAATCTCTTGAATAGTGGTTAGGGAGGAAAAACTCTCAAAAATTGAATCACTCATATTAGTAAAAAAGTGCTGCAAAATTGGGAATATGTTGAACATCACAAACCATTCACATTTTATTTATACAAGCAATTCAAATGTTGATTGTAAAATAACACACCCTAGCAATATTCTATATTGTGGTTTTTTGTTATCGCCATCTACAAATTGGCAACTTAGCAGCTACGACTGCTAAAGGTTAATGATGCTGGGCAAGCAGGAGAGAAGTACTCTGATACTTTTAAGCATTGACTGCTTCAAAGCAGAACACTCGTTTTAGCGAACAGATTTGCTTCTGGTCGGTTTTCCAGCTTTCCAACTGACCGCCTTTCCTTCTGCATCGGAGAATGGAGTCTCTGACGGTTTCTAATGACTGAACCACTTTATCGAAATGAAGGCGTAGGTCTCTTAAGAGAGTTTCTTTATCTTGACTGTTCCGACCATGTGATCTTTCGTTGGTCGATTGTACAATCGGAATTTGAGACTGTTGTGGAAAGAGGGTTGTTGAAGGCAGTTCTGCAGATTTTTAGGATTGCAACTGTTTCTGTGTCATGCAAATTAAGGGAAAAGGCCGTTTCTTTCAATTGTCGATATTAAGTGGTTTTGCATGAAAAGTTTGCTGCTGCGGGTCGAAGGTGCTGGTTAACATCTGGGCCGCAGGTTCCATCGTTTGCGACAATTCAACCCAGATACTTGAACTGCAAACTTCCTCCAGCGTTATACTCGATCTACAGGGCGTCAGTTAGGGGTGATGTCCTTATTACTGTTATTTCGGGTAGACTTATAGCCTAACCTCTTCCGCTTTCTCGCACTCATTGACAATAAGGGCTTTCTTGCCACCCCCGGAAGAAGTTGCTCACCAGAACTAATCGTCCGCATACTCCATAAATTAGACAGATAGGCCGTTTGATGTCCGGAACTTCTTTGAGAGATTTTGGAGCCTTCTATCTCTCTTCAAAGGACACTTTTCTGAATGATGCAGTGAACCACGGTGTTGAACAGTAGCAAGGGAAGCATTTCACCTTGAATCACACTAATAAAGCGTTTCATTTTGGACAGCCCAAGATGTTCCTTCGTAGTGTCCGTCCATCAGTCATATTATCCTTTCAGGTGTTCCATACTGACTTGTGATTCGCTTAATTGTGCAGCGACTGACCGAGTCAAACGCTGCTGAACTACAGAAATATCAAGTTCTAGAGAAGATTGCGATTCCAGCATCGTTCGGCCATTCGACTAGCACAAATATGTCGTCTGCGCCAGAATTTGGTTCGTTCTCAAACATTGTTCCGCTTTATACTTCGGTCTGCGCGGAAACCTTTTCTAGCACAGGTAGTAAAGTGATCCTTCAATAGTTAGTACATTCATGTTTGAAAACAGTTGAGATAAACACTCTCGTTTCGTCCGTCAAGTATCACTCCCGGTCTTAATGCCCTTTCGAAGACATGATGAGTCTATGTGGCTGAGTTTACACTTTCATAATTCAGGAGTTTGGTACAGAATCCTTCTTGCCCGCTAGCCTGTGATAATCTGCACCGATGCATAGCGATTCGGATCGCCTTAGGTTTAGGAGATGTGCAAGAAATCCTTCATTGTAGGAATGGATTTGGAAGTGCCTCTTAGTTGAGTGGAGAATCATTGCAGGTGCTCTTGTATCGTTCAGTTGCGCGCAAAATGCTCTGCTCAGCTACTCCCTTCTCTGACGACAACATGCAAGGTTTCATTTTTACAGCTGCGCACCTTACTGTTTGCTTTCCATGTTATGCAGAGTCGCCATTTGTTTAAAACAGTCCTCCAATCTTCCGCATCTCCCGCATTTTTTGTGAAGCCTCTCATTCAGTCCATTGTTGCCAGTTGCTGCGGCTACTCCTACTCATCGTTTTAACCAAGTATCAAGGTAATCGCCGTCTGTGTCTCTTACCCGTCGCAGCATTGCTTGTTCCGCCGTGTTCTGTTCTTTATTTAAAGTCCAGAATGTCTAAGGAGATCCAAGCGTCTTTCAACTTTTCTCGCAACGGTCGTTAGTTTTGGCTGTTCTCCTGAAGATCTTCATAATCATTTGTTCATAGATCAGCTCTGATTACTCTTGATTTTGAATCAGCCAATCACGTCAGCGAATTTGCCGCCAATTTGCGCCAGGAATGCTATACACTTAATGGAATGTTTCAGCTTGCCCAGATCAAAACGGCGTTTAACTTCGTCCATTCTTATTCGTCCAGATGTTGCCGATCGCAGGCGGAGCTTTGCACTCACTAAGAAATTACCTCATTCGATGTTAGCTCCACTGGATGGTCTGTAATTGAGGGAATTTCGCCAATTACTGAAGATAGAAAGTGAATCTTCAGCCTTAGCAACAAAAGCTATCAACATAGGTTAAAAGAAGAATTAAATATTAAATAAGTTTCACTGCAAGTGCATTAATACTTTCACACAAATCAACAACAAAGAAATTATTCCGAATTAGTTAAGATTTACCATTAAAGCAGCTAAATTGGAAAATATTCGCAGTAAAAATTTCTTATCCCTCATAACTGGTTCCATTTCTGACCTGGATACAAATTTAAGACTCTTCATTTTGCTGATTTATGATTTGCGCCTAAACCCGAATATACGATGACTTTTTTGTTTACGTAGTATCTTCAAATTAAGTTTTCAAGGACGCCTTTGCAGCAGTTTGTAATAAAGATAACAAAAATCATTTTATTTAAATAGACCTTCTCTATTCGTCATTTAAATTGTTTAGTTCGAATTCAGGCGATATGGAATCATCATTCAATACGGAACCAGATTCATAACGATCTTGCATCTCAGAACGGTATGCCGCTTGTGGAGAAGGATTAGGCCTGGTGTATTTCTTCGACTTTATGGATGATGAGTTATATTTTCGCGGCCAGGCGTACCTTCTCTCTGTGTGTTTTGAATGTTTTTCGTCGTCATCATCATCATCTTCCATCACCGCTTCTCCTTTCGGGTCGCGGAAAAAGACACGTTAGAGAGAGCTTCTAACGTTCCCGACCTTGTGCCAGCGTCTGAGCTTCGGCAAAAGACAAATGGAGTCTGGAAAGACTCCTCTCCTTCCATTTGTTTGCACCAGGTCATTCTTGGCCGACCCCTTTGCCTTCTCCCGGTGACATTTGCAAGAAACAGTTGCTTAGCCTTCCTTTCTTGAGGCATTCGCAGCACATGCCCAAGCCATCGCAGCTGTGACTTCTCAATCTGGAGAAGCAAAGGCTGTAT